GCAGCGCCCCGCCCCCCGCCCCGCCCACGCCGCACCCTATCATTAACTTATGCCAATACTTCTCAGATAGGAAATTCAACCTGAAAATAACACACAATTCATGTTAAACTTTATTCCTATTTTTAGGTTTTTTCTAGTAATTCAAATTTAACCGATCTAAAGATAGCAACAATAATTAAAATAAATATGATATTAAATAATTTAATTATTATATTAATGTTAATACTGGCGTCGCAAGGGGGAGGTAGGAGGAGCAATTATAGCCCCGCCCCCGACCTCCTAAAGATATTGTAGACTTTTACATGCATTTTACAGTTAAAAAAAATCAAAAAAACCCCTCTTTTGAACAACCCTCCTCCTGTACTGTCGGCCCCAACTATCTTAATATTTAAATACGATATCGATTTACAAGACGCAGTTTCTTAGTGACTTATAACTTTAAATATGTTAAAAATAATAAATGCGAGTGATTGGACGTATGAATGAATAACAAGGTTTTTTATTACACCCGGACGAAGTCACCGGATAAACCTATCTTACTTATCGATATTTTTGATGGATGTTTGTTAGATTGTAGCCTAAACTGAACGGATCTTGATGAAATTTATAATAGGTGTAGAACATAGTGGAAGAACACATAGGCTACTGACTATTTTTAAATTTCACGCGGACGGAGTCACGGGATGAAGTTAGTATCTTATAAACAAACAAACTTCAATTCACACACTCACCGTATCAATAGATGCGACCAATGCAGGGTGAGCAGCGGCAGTCTGTGAGCGAACTTCAGACAGATCAAGTTAAGATGGTCGAGTGGAATATTCTCCTCGGGACTGTAAAGACCAGTATTCAGTCCGCTTTGTTCATTGTGTAATATATTCTGTGCCGTTTTAGCTGTTAATGGGAATAAACAGCCATCTGAAAAAATACGCTGTTATGAAAAGAGAAAGCGATATTTCTCTCTTTCCTAATTAGATAAAGTAACTTTTTATTAGATTTTGTTAGTACAATCATACTTTATATACTATTATTATAAAGAGGAAAACTTTGTATTTTTGTATGTATTAAAATAACTCAAAAACCACTGTACCGATTTTAAAAAATTTTTCACCATCAGAAAGGTAATTTATCTGTGAATAACTTAGGCTACATTTTATTATTACTAATGTTTAGGACCTATTAATACTATATAATAATATAAATGCGAAAGTTTAGATGGATGGATGTTTGTAAGAGTTTGTAGCCAAAACGGCTAAACGGATTTCGATTAAATTTGGTACAGATGTAGAGGATAGTCTGGAAGAACACATAGGCTACTTTTGTTTTTTTTTAATCCACGCGGACGGAGTCGCGGGCGAAAGCTAGTCAACTTATAAAAGTAATTATGTAACGTAAATTATCGAATGTTAAGTCCATACAATTTTTAGTTTTCTTAAAGCTATATTACTAATCGAATGTTCCCTTCCCTTTTCTTTTGAGGAAAGAATAGATAGGTGGAATTGGAATTTAAGGGAGTGGAAATGCAAAAGGGAAATGTCCACTTTCTGTGTCACCTTCTCCATCTATTTTTCTAAACAACGAATCTGCTTTTGCATATATCTAAGGGCAGCGGTCGTTTCGATGTTTTAGCGAGATCAAATGACCGCTTGCTCGTTTGTCACCTTATATTACAAAGAATGTCATTCTACTATCAGGAAATAGATATAATATTTCTTTCCCAGTAAAAAAATCAGATTAAAAAACACTTCAAGTAATAATTGACTTTAAAAACAATATTAAATGATTAACTTAGCTAGAGTGAAAGAGATAGCTAGATTAAAAGAAATCCGACAACACTCACCTGTCAAATGCAGCATATGCTTCACATGTACTATAATATTCACACAAACAGAATAAAGCAATTCATCCTTATTTCCATCACGATTAAAGTCTAAATTCGTTTGACAATCGTCCATCTCTAAGATCGCAAACGTCAGAGTTTTAAAGAGAAACCTCACTAAGACCACATCTGGTGAAAGGTTTGCACAATTTTCATTGATATTTTGAACATTTAACGGATCAATATCTAGCTTTGCGTTGAAAAATATCGACTGTGGTGATATAAATGTCGATTTTAAATAATTTATTGATAATAAAATTTCACTCTCCGGTATCAAAACTAGAACTTTTCGAAGTAATATCATTATTATCGATAGATATCGTAATTTCAGCTTCCGTGGTGTTGTTGCCTGAAAATAAAAACACAATTTTATAGCCGAAAACCATCTAATAACTGATAACCATTTAAAACCAGATAATTAAACTATTAAAATGTAGAATTACACCATTAAAACATAAATTCACACCACTAAAACATTACTTTCTCATCGCTAAAACATAAATTCACATCACTAAAACATAAATTCACATCACTAAAACCTAAATTCACATCACTAAAAAATAAATTCACACCACTAAAACATAAATTCACATCACTAAAACATAAATTCACATCACTAAAAAATAAATTCACACCACTAAAACATAAATTCACATCACTAAAAAATAAATTCACACCATAATTATTACAAAAATTACCTGATCCGGTGGTGCTTTAAACAGTATCTTTAAAAGAACTTCAACTCTGCTCTGCTCTAACAACACATCTTTGTACACAGAGTCAAGAAGCCTCTCTAAAGAGCTGACAGCGTCACAACTGTCAAGTTCTATGCTCCTCTGTGTCAGTAAATTGAGTAATGTGTCACTCGCCAGCTCTGACCATCTGTAGTAACTCTCCGGATGGTCCTGGGATAGAGATAGGACGCAGGATACGAGATCTAGAACCTGGATGGAAATTAAAAAATAAAAACATGTATTTGATCAGTAGTAACTCTATTAACAAGACATTGTGATCTTTAGCCATAAATAAGTTACTTTGGACCATATATTAGTTGCTTAAGACCACATAAAAATCTTTGGACCATAATTTAGTTTTTAGTGCTACATAAAAGTTTAATTGGACCATAGATTAGTTTAATTGGACCACATACTAGTTTCTTTAGACAGAAGCTAAGTATATTTGGGCCATACATAAGTTTCTTTGCACTTCAGATAGATTGCTTTGGACCATATATAAGTTTCTTAGGACCATATCTAAGTTTGTGTACAACTTACTTTGGGTTGATGCATAGTCTTCTGCAGCATGTAGAAGAGAACTTCCCTCGTGGCTTGTGCCTCTTGCTGCTGAGTGCGGCCGAGCACGCTGCTGCCTGCTGTATCATAAAATATCGCTTTTTAAATCTTTTAATCGTCTCGCTGCTACTGTGTTATATGCTTAAACCAGGTCAAATATGCTTAATCGATAGATAATAAAATGGTCTGTAATATACCGAATTTTGTTTAAAATCTTGCTGGACTTGATACATTTACGATGTTAATAATTTAATAAGATACATTAATTATAAAATTATGACCAGACTAGCTTTTGCTATAAACCTCATCCGCGCTGTATTTAAAAAGATAACGAATTGACTACGTGACCTTCTACATGTAAGGCATCAAGTTCGTTTGGGGATAAGTAGTAACATCCATCCATCCAAACTCCTTGATTGATTCCTATAAGCTTATGTAGGTGCACACACTGGATTTTTAGTTGTGCAACTAAACAGTTGAATGCTGAGAAACAATCGACAATCGCACAACTGTTGTGCGATAGTTTAGTCAAAGTAGTGCGCCTGCTCTAAGAATGTGTATATGATATCAGTTAAACAGTAGATATAAAAGTTAATTACCTCCCATATTACTAAAAACTCTAACGGCAACTGGCTCTAGTCCTGCGATACATTCCGCGTGTGCTCCGGATGCCATCAACCCATCGCATAACTGTATCAGCTGTAATAACAAAAATCATTATAAAAATTTAAAAATGAAATAAAAAAGGTGCATTCATTAGAACAACGTATACCTTTGGTATCTCTATAAGTTGTTTCGTGTGATGTTTCGATGAAGACAGTTGTACCAAAAATAGCAATATGCTATTCACCAGTTCACAGCAATTTCTGTAAATTTAACTATATTTTTATCGCAACTCTTGCTGCGTTCAACGCCATCTATTGAAAACCACAAAAACACCAAATTCTAAAATGTAAGCGACTAGCTTTTGCTTGACTTCTTCCGCGCAGAATTTAAAAACCTAATAATAACTAGCCTACTCAATGTAAACAGATTTCTACTTTAGAATACATACATAATTAACCCATATATATTTTTTTTAATTAAAAACAACGCCATCTATCGAATAGCACATTGAAATAATTAGTAACAACGCCATCTATCGGACAAAACATACGGTATCTCATGCTGCTCCACCAAATCCAGTTGTTTCATTAAGAAGCCAATGAAGACCTGGTCACTGTCCAGCATGCAGTAGTTAACACGCAATGCCAGTAGCTGGTCTAACAGCGCCAGTACCGCACGCTGGAGCGGGATGTCGTTCTGCATCGTGTAGCTCTGGAAATAATATAACAACGCTCGTAAAGTAATTGGGTAAATGAAACCCACAAAAACAAACATATTCTTGCTAACCAGTACTTGGTACCTAGATTATAGTAATATTGTTAATTTTTATTTACGTATAAACGAAATATATACTCTTATCTTCAAATCTATATAGAAATAAAATTCTCACCTTCAATGCTTGTATTACAACCGGTTCAAACAACCGTATATATCTTTCCAATTCTTTTTTATTTGTACTCCATTTCCTATCTGTTTTATTCTTGGAAAAATTCTCCAAAGCTATCAACATCTGTCTTTCTTCCATCATTTTCGGATTTTTCGTATCCAGAGACAATTTCTGACTCGTATTCGAACAAATACTACTTCTTCCAGAATCTTCTCTGCATGAAACTGGATTTACCAACATCACATTCCGGTAAAAACTGGTTTTAACTGGTAACATCTCGTTATCAGCAATACTCATAAAATCATTGTATTGGTTGATCATATTTGTACCGAAGAGACATTTTAATAATTGCGTTATGCAATAAACAGTTTTATTTGGACAGAAAGGCATAATAACTTTTAGATAATACAATATCTCTTCAGTAACGTAACCGAACTCCTTCTCTGTTGCCAATTCTAGTTGAATCGCTAAACAGTTCAGTACTGTAGCTAGGAATTCATAAAATATACTGCCTTTTGGATCTAGATTTATCTGAAAAAAAAATTACAGAATTTTTTAAAAAGCTAAATCATTTATATTTCCATCTGTCTTAAAGGGTAAACAGAGACCACAAAAAAATTTACATTAGCAATTAAACAGAGAAAAGCTACACCTAAATTAAAAAAAAAAAAAAAACAGTCACAAAATCAATAATTTCAATACATTTTTAGTATGCACAAAGATTTGTATCAAAAAATATTAATCACACGTTAAGATTAAGGCCCTGTCCCACCACTGGCTGATAGTCTCAGATAGCTTAAAAATGACGTCACTGTCAGATAAGGGAACAAAACCGATATTTCCATCACATATTTTACACGTTGGACTATCAGACTATTTACAATTTGGTGGGACAGGCCCTTAGTCTTAGTTTAAAATCAATTACTGAAACTATCAAAGTAAAACCAACCTTATGATTAGAGTACATAGCTCTCAAATTCTCATACAGCTTCATATAAAAGGGTTCTGTATAGAAATGTCCGGAGAAATTAGCCTTTAAGCTGGTAGCGGGCGTCGGTACTTTCTTCTTTAGGGAACCTTTATCGTCACTATCCTGGGATACTGTACTTCCTCGTCTTTGGATTGGATCTGTAAAAAAAAAAAAATCTTAACTAATATATACTATTCTAATAAAGCGTAAACACACACTTCTTTGTTGCCTAAGATGTCAGCAATTACAGCATATTTTTGAATAATTATCTTTTTAATAAAAAGCCCTACACTTACGTCATGCTTTAGGCTATATATTTTCACGGTAAATATTTTGGATAAAACCCTAATGTGGGAAAGAGACCATAAGTTGCTGCCAACATGAAGGAAGCAAGATTGCCATGGTTTGTAATGTCATGTCATTTTGACATTTTCAATTGATAAATTGACAAATGTGAACAATAAAATGAAATTTTATAATTTAATGCGGATGATACACGTATGAACACCTAGTTTACTAATATTATGTGAAAGTTTGGATGGATGGAAGTTTGTTAGTTTGACGCCTAAACAGCTGAACGAACTTTGATTAAATTTAGTACTGCTGTAGAGGATAGTCTGAAAGGACACATAAGTTACTTGCTTTTGTTTTCTTTAATTCTATGCGGACAGAATCGCGGGCAAAAGCTAGTAAAAAAGGGTTATTCCTATTTTGCTATAATTTCTAAACAAGTTACCTACATTAACATGAATTTTAATTGTATTAGACTTTCTTAGGTGAAAATTATTAATGTTAAGACATATCATAGTTAAGTTATTATAAAAATCAAGTTAAAACACTTAAAAGAACTTACCTTGGGTCTTTCTCCGCACAGGGCTGCCAGGCAAGGCAATACCACTCTTATTTAAATGCACATTAGGGTTAACCTCCTCTATCAGATGCACCAGCACATTCAACATCTTTAAAGTAACTTCTAGAAACTTCTCCGCTATACTGGCAACTTTCTCATTGTCCAAATGTTGCCATTTCCCTGTTATATTTTGATAATCACGTTCGAATATATCTCTATTTGTCGTTTTGTGTTGCATCACGTTATGGATTTCAACTGAAAAAAAAAAAAACAAAATATTAAGTTTCTCATACTCTTAGTGACCCACATAATAATTCTAAGACGATTTTTCTGTTTTTCATAATAAAATGAACTTCATTTTGACAAAAACATTTGGATTAAAAAAATTTACTATTGGCCCTCTTAATT